TTTTTGTTCTGGATGTTTTTATAATTTTTACAAAAAATTTTTATTTTTCCGCTTTCGTTTTCCGTTTTGGGGCAGTGCCCCTTAGAAGAGCAGCAACAAAAAGTCAATGCATCTTTTTAATTGCTGTTTTGAAATACATTTTTGCTGAGTTTCGTTTTTTATGGTGCGCCGTTAATTGATTGACGGCTTTGCCGGAGCCACGCGCCCTCAACAAATGACCCCAAGAGCAAAAAAAACTGCCACAAAGTTAAATGCAGCTGCCGCTGCAAGGCGAGAGGTGTGCAGTGGCATGAAAGTGGAAATGGAATTGATGGCATTGCAAAAGCACATGAACGGAAGCGCCTGTCACTTGACAGCCACATTCCCAAAGATTTCCTACAATCCACACAGCATGCCGCAGATAAGATATATGGCAAATTACTCATGCTTGTTCACATCTCAAGCATTATAGAATTAGTTAAACAAACTAGACGTAGTTTCCGCTATAAAACATGCAAATACGAAATATTTATGTTACTTAATCCTTAACTATAATTTAAGATTCGTAGAAAAATTATTTATGCTAATGTTGAACAACAAATAACATTGACAATTTATGAAATTGCAAATCTAACATATACAAATTCTGTGAACTTTCACAGAAAATTTTTAATAAATTCCAATGTTGTATTGGGCTTAAAACACAAATAAATAAATACCATAGATATAGAAAATAATTATTAAAAAATGTTTCTAGGCCAATATAAAAAATGATGAATGAAATTTTGTGAAATACTAAGATTAACCATTTAAAGTCTTTATATATGCGGCTTTTAAATTATTCCACACACGAATCGAATGGAAACATCGCTCAATAAGTTAGATATTCTGCCCATAAGAATGCGCACTACAAGTAGCAGGAACTAAGCTCTTCCATAATGAAATCAAAACAAAGGCAAATCCCACATTTTTGTGCCCCCTAAAAAGAAACTCGCGTAGACTTTTTGCCATTTTTGGGTCACGCATTTGCGCAGGCGCGTGAAAAGAATGGAAGAGGAGCACGGGCTGAGGGGCGGGTCGATGATCGTGGATCTAGTTAAAGGCAGTGTTATGGCCATGTTGGCTTGTTGAACTGTCAAAGGCTCAGCCATGAATTGACAATCAAATGCTGCACGAGTCGGAAGTTGGCAGCGACGATAACGAGCTACATTTTTACAGTTACAGTTCAATTTACATGGCCATCAATCATCGTCAAAGCCGCGGCAGCTCAACATGACAAAACAGAAAGAAAAAAAAAAGCAAAGTTTTACCAAATTGATTACACTGTGCGTTTTGTATAGTCCAAAAAGTAATCCGTTAAGACTGAAGACTTGAGCTGTGCGCTTGCCAAAGCGTTTTTGCCATGTGAAATTCGCATATGAAGGCCGCCAGCAACAACCACAACAACGACTTCAACAACAACAACTTTAACAGCTCCAGACGCCAATGGCATTGTTTATTAAACATTTCAAAAATGATATAGCCAAGTGATTTTAATTATTATTCTTTGCTGCTTTGCTGCCGCTCGATGATCTCATTTTTCAATTGAAAACTTTGGCGGCTCATGTGAAAAGTTTTTGTTTATCGCATGCGTAATAAATACACATGTATGTGTATTTACGTGCTTGTATTGTAGTCTAGTCCGAAACAGCTGGACGGGGGGTATGGGTACTACCCAGGGCTCCCACAGACTCTCCACTGGCTGCACGCTCGGATCAGCAGCGCTGACCCCGCCCCACACCCTCCCACCACCGCGGACAGTGCATGTCCATTTAGCATAAGTTTTAATTAAAGAATATACATTTGCAGCACGCATGTTTGAAAATTAGAAGCCAGAGTCCAGCCCCCGGCAACAGCAAATGTTGCATGCAAATGAACCGAACAGAGCAAGCACTAAAACAATGAAGAGAACCAGGTATGTCGGCTACGCCCTACTTTAAATACACTTTTCTGGTCTTGTATTAGCAAGCGAAAATATTTAAAATAATAATTTAAATTAATCAGATGTGTTAATAAGGAGATATTTTTATTTATGTCATCAATTTCAAACTCATTTCAAACATAGACAAGTTTGAGAGTTCTTTCATCGTTTTCAGGAAATCCACCCTGTTAGGTGAATTTGTTATTCATCATTTCTCGCGGGAATAACATTTGTCAACGGGATGGCTTAGATTGTGTTGCCAAGTCTGAATACGTTTAGTATTGTATTTAAATTAATAAAGCCTGTAAGAGCGGAATTTTTTTAATTTAATTACGAACTTAATAAAGCTTATCACCCATCAAAGTGGAATGGTTTTAGAGAGTAGCCAAAATACTTAGAAATGTTTACTTTATTAATGAATTAATATCATTTTATCTTATTAAGATCACACAGTATGTGCCGGGCAAAGCCGGGTATTATCCCAGCTAATATAACATATATATGAAATTTGATTAATATGAGTTATCATATGTATGCGAAGTTACGTAATGAAACTGTTTATAGAACTCGCAAAGATCATAATTGCAGCAAAAATACACACTTCTATATACTCTATCTAATTAAGCCTCTCTAAACAATCGAATGTAAGCTGATGCCCATTTTTAACATTAATTTGTGCTAAAAATCATTTTCATATTCTTTTCATTTAAATTCTTGGCGTTATTTCTAGGTGCCAAGTCGTGATATACGCAAATGCTTAACAGTTGATTTTTCTGCAGTTCCAGTTATTTGGCACAGTTGTTGGACTCTTCACCTAGTTGAGACGCACGTTGTTAGCTGGGCATTAAATAGTCCGAAACCTTTGCTCATCCCTTTACCCTGCCAAACCTCCCTCCCTCCCACTCACCCTTTCTCTAACTCCCCCTCTCCGTCAGTCGTGATGACCAGCTTAAAAGGGGCGTATGAAATTAATAGACTCTCAACTCACTTAATTATCTCACTCTGCAGACATTTTAAAATGGGCAAATGTGTTTTTTTTTTCAGTTTTCTTTTTTCTTTTTTGTATGCAGCCATTTTCATCGCAGACGGAGTTGTGCCTGCTACGAGCTGTAATTGTGTGCGTGTGCCTGTTGTTGTTGCTTTTAGCTTTATTAGATGATGATAACTTGGCTAATGAGTTGTTGGACTGACAGCGGGACTGGGCGAAAAGCCAACGACATTGTGTATTGTATTGGCTGACCAAAAGACCAGCAGAGCCACAAGCAAATATAGCCACAAAAACAAAAACAACTATTTGAGCTGCCCGCGCATTTTCAGCGTTTTCATCTTGAGAATATTTGTGCTTTTTGTTTTATTTCACGCTTTCGCGAAGGTGAACAGCGCAAAACTTTGAACAACAAAAAAAAAGAGAACATTTCATGAAGATCTGCTTAAGGTTAAGCGGGCAGCTATTAAGAAAAAAAAAACGGTTAGAGTTAACTGAACTAAACTGAACTGTGCTGAACACTTGCGCTTATTTGCGTAAATGGGTTCAAAGCAAACCCAAAGCATGCCAATTAACCCAAACCTTTGTATCTGTATCTGTATTCGTATCTGCTGTTATATTTGTATCTGTATCTCAATGCCAATATGTGTCGCTGGGTCGTTGTCAATTTATCTTTGAGTACTTTGCGTGTTTGCTTTGCATTTCTTCTACTTCTTCTTCAAATAGAGAGGGGCGTGCAGGGGCGTGTACTTTTATTAACTAAACGATTCTTAACCGTTTTCTTGCAATCCAAATTTGTAAACTAATTCACGTATGGCTCTTGCCAGTTGACCAACATTATGGAATTAATAGAATGCTAAACATATACAATTATTGGTTTAAAATAATTATCAGAGATTCTACCAGCATGGAATATTAGTTCAAAATAGTTTACATTAATTGAAATTTTAAATAAATGTAATAAAATAATGGGAAAATCCAATTTGAGTGAATAAAATAGGAATTTTGTTTGTAAAAGCAAATATGACTTCCGTTCGATTTGCACCAAACTTATAAACCAGCTTTTTCTGGACAATCTACCCGCAAGTGAGTAAACTGGATGAAAAGCACGTTCAAAGTAATGCCGATAAATACCAGCTTGTATATACATATATTATTTTTTACCTTAAGCTCTATCCCAGACAAGTGTATGGCTGTCTTATAGTCCTAGCCAGTGGTATGTGGTTAAGCAAGTTATGTTAATAATTTATATATTTTTATTATAATAATAATAAGTTTAGCTCTAACTCTGAAGTTTGTTGTATTAGTGTCTCTTACTTTGGAATAGCTTTCTCATAAACATTTAACCCGCACCACGGTCACCTAATTTATACATGATTTTAACTGATTGCGTAAATTAAACATGATATTTATAACACACACTAGAATTTTATCGTGCTTTTAGGTCAGGGCGACGTTCGTAGAGGCCCTTGGCAAGGCCCCTGATCATCTCTAGGTGCAAGCAGCAGCAAAGGCAGTTGCCCCAAACTTGCCATTGAATTTCCGCTGTTGAATTCCTAGTTTGAGGTTTTCAGCACGTTTATCAACTATCGCTTGTGTATCTCTAGCGGCGCGTCGTGCTTATCAGCAAGGCGAATGTGATAAGGTGGGAGTTAAGTACACACACACACAGGCAGACACATGTGTGTGTGTGTGTGTGTGTGTGTAGTACAGCCGAAAGAGCAATGCAAACAAATGGGACTGCGAGCGATAAGCGTAAAAGGTGAGGTAAAAAACATAACGAATGCGAACACTGCGGTTGAGTCAGAGTTGCAAAAACAAATAATAAAACAGGCAAAATATGATCGGGAGCTGGCACAATATTTTGGCCATGACTGTGAGACGCATACACAGGTAGCAATAATATACCTGAAATGGGGTTGCAAAAACCAGAAGCAGAGCATGTTTAGCCCTGCAGCTGGGCTGTGAGGACATGACGCAGCGCTGACTCAGTCCCGACCCCGCCCCCCTACTACTTAGCCCCTTAATATATATGCATCAAGGCATAAAACAAGTGACATTTCTTATGCTACTCACCCTTCGTCCAATTCGAGCGGCAACCGCTTCAGCTCGGCCATGTCCAGCTCCAGGCGCAGATTGGAGACCTCGCAGAGCAGGCGATCGCGCTCGATGCTCAGCTCCTTCAGCCTGGCATGCAGCAGATTGTTTTCATGCAGCAAATCCTCAACATTGAATTTGATTTGAGTGGGCGGATGCACGGGACCGGGACAAAGCATGGAGCTAGCCATGAGCAGAGACTGTGTTGTTTGATGCAGCAGCAACTGTTGCTGCTGCTGATGCTGCTGCTGTTGGTGCTCTGGTGCAGCATCAGAGTCGCTGCGCTTGGGTGACAAGGTCTTGTGCTCGGCCTCCGACATTGTTTTAGTTGTTTGGATGGAAACAAACTCGACTGCACTTCATGGACTAAAACAGAACATCGCGCCACGCAAACGCACTCGCGACCAGAAGAGGGAGATGGGAAAACAAAAAAAAACTACTTTGAATATGAAAAAGCGAACGAAAGAACTACACGACGCAAAGCGACGCCGCCGCAGTGTGCTTTGATTTGAACTTCACTGGATTCGCATTCGCGCACTGCACTTGGCGCACACTTTCTGGATTAATGCTCTTTTTAATTTATTAACTTATTGTTTCACTTGTGTCGATTGCTGTTAGACAACTCTTTTTGATTTTTGATTTTCATAACATGCGCGACCGACGTGCTACTTGTTCTTCGGACACCAAAACGAATACACGAATACGGCGAACTGTGTGACCAAGCCTTTTTTGTTGTAATATGCTTAGTGCTTTTTTAAATATACCAAAAGAAATATACTGATTTGACAATTAATTGTCTGCCTATCGCTTAGATTGCCATCTCTAAGCTGATATTGGCGCCAAATTTGTCATTCAACTCATTTCAACATATTTACCAAGTAGGAGCTTATTTGTAAAATTAAATATGTGTTGTTCCAAAACAGTATATTGCTAGCATCATTGGACCATAAGGTTTTTAGTTGAGTAAGACTAATTTACTCAAAATGGCACTGTGTATAGTTCACTGCGAACTAGCTCCAATTTGGCGCGCGGATACACAGGCAGGACAGGGTGGAATTACTAAGCCCCATACTATTGTTGCTTCAAAAGGTTTTCTTTTAGACCACATTATTAAAATAGTATTAATAATAAAGAGAACTGAATTTTTCATCCTTTTTTTTAATATCTGGAACTTTTTGGCGCTGCTACGCTTCTGTGGGAAGGTGCACCGCAGGCGGCGGCATCGCCATTGTCGTTTGTTGTTGTGATTCACTTTTGCGCGTAGACCGCTTGCGCACACGCTTCGTTTCCTTGGCCCAGTCCATTTCATTGTACGATTGCTCCGTGGCGCGCCAATGCAACTCCTGACGTTGAACTAGCTCTACATGCTTTTGCTCAAACTCCTTGTCAGGCGGCAGCAGAAGTTCCCAACGTTTCGTCGCATTCACGCGTGCCACAGTACTCAGCACGTCCAAGGTCTCGGCGGGCGGCAACTGGGTGGCGGTCATTACCTGGTTGCGATACAGGCATGGGGTGCGCGAGAATCTGTAGAGCTGTGCGGGTAAATAAAGAGAAATTGTTAAATAGCTTAATCTGGAACATTTTTGCTTGGGACATACTATGTAATCTCTGGCACGTATCATTTGCTCCGCCGAGACTCCATTGGCATGTGATAGCATCTTTTCGGGATAGACCACCTCCGACTTGGGCACCCAGTTGCCGTGCAGCAGTATTCCCACTTGAGGAAGTAGCGCCAGCACTTTGTCGGCGTTGACATGCGGATCAATGTGTTCTGAGAGGATGTGCAGTATATCCGTAAACGAGAGTGTCTTGGCATCCTTGAGCAGCACGCGAAGCTGTTCCAGCAGCGACATCGTCTTCAGCATTGCCTTGTTATAGACGGGCAGCACATTAGCCACATCTACCTGTTGGACATGCTCATCATGTGGCAGCAGCTTGTACAGATATTCGCTGGGCGGTAGAGACAGTGACTGATTGGCCTGATGGTTAGTGCTGTACAGCTTCTGTCGCTCGAGCTCTGCGGTGGGCGTGCTCCTTGCATGCCAATAGCTCTCACACCAGGGCTCATCCACAATGCGCTGAACAAAGTTGTCGTAGGTGCCACGCTGCTCCTTGGTCTTCTTTGCAGCGGCGCCAGCGCCAGTGCCACGTGCGAATTTCACTGTTACTTGCTGCGCCACCTCCTCGTCGTCCACATCCTCCGTCTGCGCCTTTTGCTCTGCCTTGCGCCGCTTGTCCTCCTTGTCAAAATAGTTGAGCGAGGGTCGCAGTTGTACAATGCTAGCCAGCGGCGACAAATGCACCTCCTTGTCTGTGTAGATGCCCACCACGTACTTGGAGATGTCCGTCAAGGAACGCGTGCTGGTAAACGCTTGCTTGTCCATGATGCCACGTTTGTAGGTAGGTCGTTCCGCGCCCTTGGGCGTGGCAGCGCCATAGGTGTTCTTGCCATCGGCGGCTACCGCAAATTGCTCACCCTTGAAGCGGTCGTAGTGGTTTGACTCTATGTTCAGACCGAAATCCACCTTGACCTCCTGTGTAAATGGTTTCACACAACAGTTGACAACAACGGCATCATCGTGATTTAGCAGTTGGGTTTTTGTGGGGTATTGAAATAAATACAAATTGTCCTGCAGGTTTTTGGATAGAAAGACGGGTATCTCCTCCACGATGGGGTCCTCTTCATCCTCCATTTAATTAAGGATTTAATACTTTAATTTGTTGTTAGCTGCCTGCTGTGCAGGAATCATGCGGCTCTGTATACAGAGTGACCAAGTTTCAAAAGCAAGAAAATACTAGCTGTTAGCAATAATATACTGCAGATTGCTGGATATGAGCGATATATTGAACTTCACGAGTTGCTTATCGATACCTTTTTTATGCAAGTAAGCAACGTTGCCAGAAGCAGGAGATAAGTCAACTTATCGATCAGCATAAGCTGTTTTGAAAAAATCCGTTGCCCGCGTAAAGTCAAAAACTTTGAACAGTTTCCTACCTTGGTTCAAGAGCTTATCCCTTATGGACATTTTATAGCTGATGAAGTCACACTTAACATTTAATTGAATTAAATTCAAGCTGTTTCAGATTTGCATTCCACTTATGACCTTGCGCCAGACGACTGTGAGAAGTTGCCCCCGAGACAGCACACCCGTTTTTGAGCGTACATAACTCATCAATCAACATGCATATCTACGTTTAAAGTCATGCAACTTGCGCATAATCTACTTTTATGGTAACTGCTGTGCATATATTGCCCCTTCCAATGAGTCGGTCGTCGACGGTGGCGACGGCTCGCTTATCAATTCAATTGAAATGTTATTAATAACAATTGCTGGCTTTATATTAAATGCTGTTGCATCAACACGGACTTGGACTCGCACGCCCCTCGATGAGTAATCGCAAATGCTGCTCAAGTTTCCAGTGGGTATCTCATCTGCTTGGTAACAGCGATAATACAGAGACAATGTTCACTTTTTACCATCATAAAAAACATAAAAAATAATTTATTTGCTTATTAATTTGTTTAATAAATATACAATATATAAAATTTCTGGTTAGTTTGCAAGCATTTGCAAGGCCACTCGAACGGTTTTGATTCCGGGTTGATAAAAAAAAGAAGAGTAGTACAAAAAGACTGATTAACTACGTTAAAAATACACTGATAACGAGGCACATTAACAAGTTTTTTTTTTAGTTTTTTGTTTTGTTTTAGTACACACATTGGACACGGACTTGACTTGGACGTGCCAGTTAAAGTGAAAAGTATTTCGCTTCAAGGCACAACGTGGATTCCGTTATAGATATTACATATTAGTCTAGATATTAACGTTGACAATAGAAGCCAATAGAAGCGAGGCTCTATTGCGTATATAACATTTACACACATAAATTATTTAATTCAGATAGACATTAAACATGCGACAGTTTGTGCTTGGCACTTGTAAGACGGAGGCCAACAAACGTCGACCTTACGACCAGCCACCCGTCAGTTTGTGGAACATTTCCTCGTTAAGCGTCTGGTTGTTCTCTTTGGAGCGCATGGACATAAAGATATAGCCGCCAATGAATTCGTGCACCACCTTGCAGTCGGCAGATAGGCAAGAGAAGACGACGTTCTCATCGTGGAATTGAATCATCATGCACTTGATGCCCCAGTTAACGTTCCAGGCTTTCATTGTGTTGTAACGCCAGGTCTTCAGGTGATCGCCCGTATTCAGATCCATGCGCATGATCCGATTGTGCGCTACGCCCAGCAGCTCCTCCTTCTTATGACCATCGAATTTAATGACGAATAGCGTGACACCAAAGTCAGGTAGCGATTGCCAAGCCTGTATGTACTTAAGTTTGGCTTCCATTAGCTGCAGCTGGCGCACATTGGCGTGTGCCTCCAGAATACGTTGCACCGCCTTGCCGGAGAGCTTACGCAACATTTTGGGCGACAGGTAATCGTTGGCGTCCACGACGCGTGGATTGATGTTCAATGGCGCCGCCTGTGCCTGCGGCTTCTGCATTTGGAGCAGCGATCGTATGCTGCTTACCTCACTCTCGTAGCTGCTGTCGGCGAGCGAGCGTCCCTTGGCAGCAAGACGACAGGCAGCCATCCATTTGGCATATTGTTCCTCATTCTCGCAGCGCACCCAGAATTCGCTGTTTGGTCCGTTGCGTCCCTCCGGCGACACTTCCAGCCTTATGCCAAACTTGCCTTGGGCTAAATGTACATCGGGCGTTACCTCACAGCCGCGCAAGTTGATGGTGAAGCTGGGCGCACCACGACGCGACTCCTCCTGCGATTTGTACAGGTGCAGATGCAGGTCGCGATACGTGAAGAAGTAGCGCTTGTAGCCCCTCAGCGTGAACAGCTGTGGCTTCAGGAAACGCAAATAGTCCGATAGCTCGGGTATGCGAGTTATGTTGCCCGTATCGGTTCCGGCATTTGGACCCTCAAGTGTGATTTGCAGCTCGTTGAGCGCCGAGTCGATGTCGTCTTCAGCGCCGTTCTTTTGGTTGGAGTTATCCACGCCGGAATCAATGCCGGGAGGATGCAAATCCGTTTGATGATTGACTTGAAATTGCAGCGCGGCAAACATCAGAGTCTCCTCCTCGGTGCAGTCCAGCTCTTCGTTGAGTATAGACCATTTTGCCTGCTCGTACAGCTGATTGATGCGCACTTGATCGTACTTTGGATTCAAATCGAAGAACGTGTAGTACTTGAAGCGTAAGCAGAGCGTATCAAATTCACGCACACCCTGCTCCATGATGGACAGCGAAGAATCCAGCCAACCGACATTCAGGCGCGCCTTTTGCACCAGCGTCTTGGGCCGCACAAGGCGAGCGCGCACATCTGGACTGGGCGAGCGTGGTGAGACGGCCAAATTCTCCTGCAAATCGCCAAAAATTGAACCAGAGTCATAGGCGACATAGCCATTGAGGCTGTTGTTATGCTTCCAAGTGCCCGTTGGCGAGCTGATGGGCGTGCCAGGCGCAGTGGCCGAACGCCGGGGCGTCGTTGCGTATGGAGACGTCGGCGCGCACAGCAGATTGCCGTTGCCATGTGATCGATCCAGGCTGCCGTTGCTGCCATTATAGGCATTCGTAATAGGCACAAAGGAGTTGGTGTCCGCCGCAGGTTGCACATACGCGGTGCCATTGGCCTCTGCGACGGGTATCTTCTTTTGCGGCAACTTGGAGAAGTTCTTCTTTAAATGCTCCTGCTCGACGGGCTTACACAACGATAACTCCTCCGGGTAGCGTATATCCAGATCTTTGCATAGATTCACCACAGCGCCAAATGTTTTGATTGAGAAATTTACACGATAATCTAGATAGCGTAAGTCTGGCATCTGCACACGCAGCGTTTTGTGCATGGGCGTGAAGTAGAGAAATGAATCGGATTGTACGCCCGCCTGATCGAGGGTGGAACGCGTGCGCGTAAGCCAAATATTTTTAGCGGGCCACCAGAGCGCATGATCAGACCAATCCTTGGGCATCTCTGGATCGACCAGCTGCAGCATGACGCCGCCAATGTGCTGGTCACCGCGTACACGCAACGTTTTCTCCACCTGCAGATCGGTGATAACTATCCGCAGGTTCCAGGTGTTTTCACCCACATGAATCATCTTGCCACTGTTTTCCTATTTTAGGCGTATTGCCAGCACTCATACACACAAACACGCACACAAACAAGAACTTGGGCGACTGGGCCAATATCTAGAAATGAATAGCGAACAGGAAAATCACTTGATTTTTGAATAAAATTCCTCAAATGATGACGTAATCGACCTACGTTCGTTCTATCTTGGGCCTTCTATCCAATATGCGAGCTGTTTTTGCAATACATACAAAGCAAACGAGAATATGGTATTGCTGCTGGCGCCCTTATCTCGCCAGATGTTTGCTTTGGCTCGCACAGCTCCAGCTCCAGTTCCAGCTCCACTTCTAATGGCCGTTCGCTCAACGGGGCTCAATTGTTTTTTTTTCCCTCTTCCCTGTCGCAGTAAACACTCAAGGTTATCGTTAGCGTTCTTTCCGAGGAGGTGGAGACGTCGTTGTCGTCCCACGGCACAACAAATACTAATGAATGCTGCAAAATTCCACACACATACGAGCGACAGCGACGGCGACGGCAACGACGAGCAAATCGTGAACAAAGCCCAAACGCCAGCAGCTACGCGAGATACGAGAGAGAAATTAATTCATAAATAAATCAGCACGAAACGGCGACGACGCGACGTGTTTTCGGTTGACTTTGCTTACAGCTTGTATCTGGCAATGTGTATGTTTGCTTTTGGCTTGCTTATTTAGCTATATACAACGTATATTTGGCAATTTGTATTGCCCAGCTTCTTTAATGCGACGCTTAATATCGTTAATTTATTTTTAGAATATTTTTCACGTTCGTCATCAGCCTTCGTCTGTCGCTACGGTCGAGTGCAGACTATTTTGGTTATCGATTGCGCAGCTATTGCTGATCATGACGATAGTATCGTTCAAATAATTTCTAATTTAAAATGATTAAGTTTCACTATTTTGCATTGATAGATAACTAAAAATAAAACTTATGTACATATATATTCATAATATAGATTAGTGTTGAATAAAACTATTCAAAATTATTTTTTTGTTTTAATATATATCGACACATAGTCAACCCTTTTTAGGCATCGATATATCGATAACACGGCACAAGCCTGCGCGGATTTCGTTGCTGCTTGTTATTTACCAATCAAAATTACAATTACATTTTGTTGAGACAGATTTCAAGATGAAGTTCAATTTGTACTTAACTTTTAAGTAATACACATGTTGGACGTGCACGGGAGCGACTGCCATTGACACTGCCACGCACGCACACATGCCAACCCTCATTGCCTTTCGCACAACATTCGTAAACAAACACAATGAAAGCTCCCGTTCAGCCCCAAAGCGCCAGTCGATGCGGCGCTGTCTCTTCGAGCGCACGTATTACAGAAAGTATCTCTCAGATACCCGAACGCCGACTTTAGTGCGCGCCGTATGCCATCTCGCTCTAACACACGCAGCCAGTCAATACGAATACCTGTAAACGAGCGCGCCAGTATATATGGGTGTGTGCGAGTGTTTGTGTGAAAAGTCAGCTAGGAAAATTGTGCATGAAAAATCGGAAAATCTTTGTTAAAACAACATCACAACACAGGCAATGAAACAAAGATAGCGTATTCAATTTGTGTCAAATAACAAAACTCGAACATTGCACAAACTGATATATCAGATGTATACTAATTTATATATATATATTTCGACATCAAGTTGTATATTCATTTAACAGACGAAAAATCGATCCAAGCGATGCGAAACAACCAAAATTTTAAGTCTTTACTGGCAAAAGGAGTGCAAATATCATAAAATATATATAAAACCAAACGGCTAATTTCATTAGTAAAAGTTGTGCAGACAAACGGGAAGAAAGAGAAATACAGTGAGCGACTAAAAAAGTATATTACGTTAATAGTTTAAAAACGCGCAATAGTTTAAAGCAACAGACGCTGCAATACGATAAAAACAAAAAACAACAACAACAGCAGAAGCAACAAGGCGCTTAGTCATCCGTGTGAGTTACGCCAGCGCAGTTCCAGCTTTCTGGTAGTACGTAGTGCAAGGCACTGTTTGTACCTGTTCCATTTGCCAGATACAAAACGCTGCGCAGGAACTTGTGAATGTTAATAATTGCAGCTCGCCTACGCAAGACGACTACGCCACGCTGCTGATTTCAATAATAGTAGCAACAACAACAATTATCGTAGTAACCTGTTGTATACATTTGTTGTTCACCTTTCGTTGTCTAAAAACGGTCAATTCTAAACACACAAACAGACACAAGCCGAGCGAGAGAGAGAGAAAGAGAGAGTCAAAATTCAGCTTACATACAAAACATACATACAAAATCAAACCCCGGGGCACACCTGTTTGCAGTCACTGTACTCAAATAGTATTTACATCGTTTGCTATTTAGTGGCCAACAGAATTGAATTGTTAAAATGTCGCGTCTAACGGAGGAAATGGTGATTGCGCGTGCCAAGCAATCGGATCTGGGCTTAATCAAGAAACTAAATTGCTGGTAAGTTGAGCGTATTAATTGTTAGCCCATTGGCTGCAGTGAAAGCCTAGCAAAAGTGCCCATGATCTGGGAGATCTGCCCACTTTGACGCTTTCACTACACCTCCAGCCTGACTGACCCGAATCCCTCGATTGACAGCAGCCACCTAGCAGCTCTCAACCAGTTTGGCCCACGTTGTCCACTTTGCCTGACTGCCTGCCCGCCTATCTGTGCCAAACACGGCACCCCAAGGGGTTAAGTGGCAAACGGCTTAGAACTTTGAAGCCTTTTGCTAGTGGTGCTAGCGTTGCACTTCAAGGCTCTTATGGCTGGAAAAAGGAGGCATTTCAAACCGGGTTTTCAAATGCTTCTTTAAGCTTATCAGCTTGAATTTAAAGAATTCTCTAAGCTTGAACTTAGAGAAATATCTAAATATCTAATGGTAGATTCTCCAAATTGGTGGATGTTTACACCCAAATGTTCCATATCAAATGTATCCAATGATGGGTTCAAGCTTTGTATCCGTATTTTAACCGCATGAGGCATAAAAGTTCTAAAAAGACTTTCTGACGTTTAAATAACAAACTTCCCAAAACAAAAATCTACAACCCCTGGGGGAATAATTTTAGCTAAATGCGACTGATTTCGTTATTGTATCCGCATTTTATCCGTAAATGTCAACTGTTATTATAAAATCATTATTATATCATCTATATTTTTGATATTTTATTTGAATTCCTTTCTTCTCTTTATAGGGGCAGTGATCTCAGCGATGTTAATATAATCAAACGCATGCGTGGTGTTGAGGTTTTGGCACTTAGGTAAGTCTCTTATTTCTCTATATTTTATCCAATTTGGGAATGTTATAGATCAGACAAGCTAATTTCCTGTGCTGCGCTTTGATTGATTTCAAATTCAATTAACCGCCCGCCGCATTTGAAAAAAAGTTTCATTGTGGGAGTGTTAGAGAGAGAGAGAAAGGTATCTGGGCGTAAGTTTCTAACCGTCAGATACTTGTGTTCAAATGATGTCATTCGCACAGCGAGAGGCAACGGCATCATCATTCGCAAGCAAGCGAAAAAACTTTTGAACGCTCAAGCGCGTAATTAATGCAAAAAGCAGCAACAATAGTAAACAGCAACAGCAACAACATCAACATGAAACATAACAAAAGTCGTGGGAGCACCAAAATTGGCAACAGCGACTTGCTGTTTTGTAGGTTTTCAGTCTTGCGTCCAGCGAGTGCCCAGTACACTCGCGTGGGCCTCAGCGCCGCAGCAGCAGAGTGCGTAGGGGGCATAGCGCACTTGCTTCTACAGATACAAGATACAAGATACAATATATTCGCACACAGATACAATGGCACATAACATATACATGTGCGCTTGCATGTAGGTGATGATTATGTGAAGTATCTTTAAGTTTTCCTCTGTGCATGTTGTTGCCGCTGTTGCCTTGTAGATTGCGGCCTTTTAAGGCAAACATCATTGTTTTGACTGTCAAGGTCGTTGCGATCGATTTGCAAGACAACTGTCTGTCATATGGACAACATATTGCACAACTTAAAATGTATATATCAAGCTTAATAATTTGTTTTTTATGTGCCTGCCTTATAAGAACCGAACAGCGAGGCTTTGCAATAAACTTGTGGCAAGCAGATGGTTTATAATCGGCCGGAAGCTAAAGGTACAGGAAAAGAAAATCGAGCTTACTAACTTTTAAGACTTAAAGATGAATAGGAGTGCTTTTCCTCCTTAATGTAGGCAGCCGCAATTTCGTATATTATATATATACATATACTTTTAATCAGGTTGCCAAAGCTTAGTCGATTTGTCATGCCTGTAAATCTTTGTTTGCTTTTATTTAAAGTATCTCGATAATTTAACTTGCCTTTTTGTTGCTAGCAGAACGTGCATATATCATTGTGGGTACAATTGAAAACAATCACGTATCTGTCATACAAACGATAGCTCAAAAATAGTTTCTTTGAAGCACAAATTGTTTAGTTTTTGGATAATACAATTGACTTTTATTAATGTCACAGAGAAGATTAATCGAATGATTATTTCTTTTATGAGTTAATACAAATATTATGTAGCATCTGTCGTGCCGCAAGGCTATTTACTCGGCGGCATCTACTCTTTCTTGTAGAAATCTCATTTGCATTTTATATTTCAGATACATTTACATTCGTGTCACCTGCTCGGCTCTCACTCCTATTGTTATATCTCTACGAAACACGTTTCCATATTAAAGAATTTAAAAGCTTTCAGTTGTAACCTACTTAATCGTTATCAAAGTGCTAATTGACACACTCGAGGGAACTTTATGTATTAAACTTATCAGTCGATAGATAAGATTCTTGGGACACGCCATGAGTCAAGGGCCCTGACTTGCATAACCCAATCGTTGCATTAAACTAGGAAACCCTTTTTGTTACATGTGACTGAGCAGGCTTTACAAACATTTTGTTATGCCCACTTTGTTTGCCATTTCGGGTACGACTTCATGGAGTCGTGAGAGTTGTTTAGATTGTTGTGCTAGGCTATGGCAGGCGTGGGTCGTCGCCGCCGCCAGGCTGTCAGCTTGGAGCTAGAGTCGACTATCCATAAATCTGTTGTTGCCCCCACGTAGTATATTCAAGTATTACTCATTCGCCTGGGTTGCATGCTTGGATAATTTACTATAAGAAAAACTTTGTATTGATTTGCATTGCGTGCCGTTGGCACTTAGCTGGATTCCCTTAATACTTGCCCCCCGTCCCGGCTACTTGAAAACCAAGTGCCAACCTTGAAAGACATTGATAACTCTAATGTGGCGCTAACTATGCATATTAGTATTGCACTTCGGTTTATGGTTTCCTTTGAGTATCGTGTGCCAGTTTCTGACTGACTCTATAAATAGGTTTGTTGGAATTACAGCGCCTCCAAAAAAAAAAAAAAAAAAAACAAGAGAAGAAAACTTGCCATGGCAATGCACCCGTGTGCCATTTACAAACGGGATAGGTATCGGGTCTGCTAAGTTTAGAAGCGTCTGCTGTGGTTTTATTTTTATACTAATACATTCTAGTTGCTGTGGCTTCAATTGCCCGAGGCTCTTAAAAGAAGTCACACAGCTATCAGTTGTTATCTTATCGCATAACAAGCGGCAAGCAACAGCTAAAAAAAGAAACAATCAAAGCACGCGCAACGCCGCCGAAGCGTCAATTTTATCGTTAGTAATCAGCGTTGGAAAAAGTGCGAAATAACAATGAAAATTGGCGCTGAAACTGCGAACTGACCTAGACGATGACTATCTTCCAATGATAAAAGACGACAACGACGACAACAATGACAACAACGATATTAATGATATTATTGCCCAGCTGGCAGAGAGCTCAATATGCCATATTCTCTGGTAGCTCTAACGGTACACATTAAGAACCTTTTAAAGAAAGTTTACTGCACGGAGTTAATGACCTCTTCCAGCAGCCGCTTGGCTACCAAATCTTTTGTGTCTTTTGTGTGGCCGCCGCCTCAGCATAACTTTAAAATGATTCATGGCACTTAACCGGGGCGTCTTTGTCACTTAACAAGGAAACAAACAACACTGAAAGAAAAGCATGACAACCATGATGTTGGAATGTTCTAGTGCAGTTGTATCTAAATAAATTACTCAAAGACGGACCTTGTACAAAACTAATATATACCTACTTCTTTCGCTGTAGATTTCTAACATACGATATAAAATTTCTTAAAATTGATTAACCACATTCAATACCGTATGATATTGCCTCTGTTATTCGTGAGGTTCGGAACGGAGCTTATTACAGATAATTGAAAATCCCTTTTTAAAGAGCTCACATATGAGCAAAGCACAAATGTTATTATTTTTATTTATTTGATATCTCTATAAACCTTTATTTACCTATATTATCCGTAAGCTAATCTTTGTATTATGCGTAGGCTACTGTTTGGCTTACGGATAATTAAGACATAAATTAAACCACTTAGAGCCCCGGCTAAAAGTGGCTTCCTCTTGACAGAGTTCCGGATAATCGTGACTAAATTAAATTTCCCCTATGTATTCACGTAACACGATTATAAAAATGTTAAATAACCCCAAATTGTAATTTCTTTGCAGCGTCAATAAGATCAGCACCTTGGCACCCTTTGAAGACTGCACTAAACTACAGGAGCTGTATTTACGTAAAAACAATATTCAAAATATCAATGAAATTGGTTACCTACAAAACTTACCGGCGCTCAAATATCTGTGGCTAGAGGAGAATCCATGCTGCGAGCGTGCGGGACCAAAGTAAGTATTGTGTGTTTGGTATAGAAAGTAGACAGTTAACACCTACTGTATCTGTGAAATGCAGCTATCGGGCGATGGTGTTACGCGCATTGCCCAACCTCAAGAAGCTCGACAATGTGGAGGTCACTCAGGAGGAGTTGGACGATGCCCTACGCAACAGCAGCTCTCAAATGGCCGAGGAGGATGTCTATGAGGATGCCTACGAGGCCAGGCAGCAGCAACAGCAACAGCAGCGCACATCTCCCCAGCAAATACAACAGCAGCAGGCGCAGCCGCCAAGCTATCCACAGCACTCACCGCAACAGCCATCCCCGCAGCAGCAGCAGCAACAGCTAACACAGAGGGGTAGTCCGAGTCCCATGAAAGAGGTAACTGAATTCCAATGCTGTTCGCCAAATCTCAGTCACATTGAGTGCGCTGTCTAACATACTGACTACTCACAACACGCCCCTTAAATTTGGTTCTAATAACGCCTGGCATTTAACAAAGCATATTTTTTCCTAATTATTAACAAGCCGCCACAATTAGCAAGTCCGCTTGCTAACAACAGCGATGGAACGAATAATGTCAGCGATTTATATAGCAATCAATTGCAAAACTCAATGCCCCCAACACCCACAAAGGTAAACGAACGAATAGTTTCAGGCCGAGCTGTTTATGACTGGCCCTAATTGAGTTCTGCGGCAGACGGGGACTGAGATAAATGAGTATAATTCTCGGGGGAGTAACCGATAATAGAATATAAATTAGGATTTAATACTAAAATAATGTATTAAATGAGCTGGGAACTGGGCAATATTCTTGACTGAGCCTAGCATAGTATGATATTTTTCAAATAAAAGGTTGACAGACGGACTGTTGTTATATTAGCTTTGGTTCAGCGTTCAGTTTAACAGTTCAGTGTTGTGCAACGCATTATGCAACATGGTTTCGGGATGAAACCCAACTGTTCATAGTAGTTGGGTCCGCTGTGAATTGCTATTTAATCAGTCAGTGAATAAGAAAGATGAGTAGAAGAGTATACACACTAACAAATTTGGCTTTCCATATTCTTTACTATTTCCCAGGAACCCGCGCACCCGCCATCGCCTAAATATAATACCATTAATAAAGAGCAACGCACTTCCTTTCATCAATATGATGTAAGATCCTCATACTATCAAGCAGCCTAGCAAATCAGCCAACCATTTTACCATTTATATTATAATGATGAGCTTGTTGCCGAGCCTAGTCAATGTGTAGCTAGTTGGGTTTTTTGGGCGTGTACACGTCACACTTGAGTCCTCAGCCCTATTGGGTGCCGAGTTACGCGTGAACGAGTCACGCGATGTGGCACTGGCATGGTTAAGGTTCTTCAGTTCTTCATTTCCAGTCAGCCAGTCAGCCAGCCAGCCACTCGGCCCATTGTCGGGCGGGGGCTTGGGTTTCTGGGTTAAGTCGTGCCGCAACAGCAACATTTGACTTTGAGCGAATGGCGAGCAGAGAGAAACTGAAACCGAGACGAGACGAGACGAGACGAGAAACATGACTAGTTCATAAAATAGGTCATTATGTATTCAACAAGCAATGGCACAAGAAATGAAAGAATAATAAAAAGGGGTTAGACCCCCGGCCCTAGACACATTTTAGAGATTTAAATGCTTGTAGTCTCTGCAGCGCTTGGCAACGGCAACGGCAACAAGCTCAGCATTACTCGAAATATGAGATGGTTTGGTATTCAAGTGGCAGGCAACATAACTAACAAATTCTTTGTGCTCCTCTCCCACAACTAAAAAAAAACGCACCACAACACTAACCAACACAACAACGATAACGATAACCACATCGATTAGCACTCGCCGGGCTCTGATCAGGAGAGTCCACATGTTGGCTACAGAGAGACGCGTCCAACGCCCCTCCCGCCTAGCATATCCTCACACTCGATGAAGGTAAACATCGCAATAAAAAAGACGAATGGATGGAGAAGGATGGTAGACATTGCGCCAGAATAGTTACGCGTTTTAATTATGGTATTCCTTCTTCTCCCATGCAGGAATACTATCAGTCGGATCGGGTAACTTATCCGGCGCATTATCGTCACAGTCAAACCGATCTAACCGAATGGGAGGAGAATCAGCACCAGGCACCACAGGTGCATCACAATCCATACGGCAGCCAAATGCAGCTGCATTATCCGCAGCGACGCAGCGCGGGCCCCGAGACCGGAGCCGAGCGTTACGCTTATCGGAATGGAAGTGCTCGGGAGAATGGTGGAGATTGGGAGGTCGAGGAACGCACCAGATCTAGGTAAGCTCAGCTGATAATCTCAGTGAATCGTATAGCACTTAGTAATCAACAATTTTTCTTAATGCAGGCGCCCCGAGGGTCGCTACAGTGATGCGGTTAGTACAGTTTCGGCCACCGTCATGAATCATTTTGCAGGCTGTCATCGACGGCCCGTCAATCGAGTGAGTAACCGCATATGAGCCGTTGAGATACTTGCATATTAATTGAAACTACAATCCTGCATTGCCAGAACTCCAATTTACTGTCTGCCACATTGTGCCTGGTCAAAGAACTGGACTACGGCAGCCTAGAGGTATTGGAACACGCTGTGCGCTGTCGTATTGACGAACTGGCGGGCGAATGATGAAGACGTGTATCTAATCGCATGTCGATTAGCTAATACACTTAATGGTCTTCGTAGACCTCAGAGTAAAAATACCAGTTGGAGGATAGTTGGTAAACTTAACTCAAAGACCATACAAAAAGACACTCAGCAATATAATGACTCGAAATTTTCTACTAACAACTTAACGAATTACAACAACAAATATTTAAACTAAACTTGCCAATTGTAACTGTAATAATGTTAACTTTTATATGCGTCGGATAAGCAACAATTTTTGCTATATGAAATATACGTATACGTGAGATATACAATGTACGTAACATATGCATATGATAATTATAACACATTGTAAAAACTAATCAAGAATTTATACGCTATCTTTAAATAATTTGATCGTTATTCTAGCGTATTTAGTTTAATCTTGTTTTCTACACTCGGCATTGCAAATGTGTTAAAATAGCAATGTAACAAATGAAAAAATCGGAATAACATTTAATGCCACACTAGCCTTATTTTGTACTTAACAAGAAAAAAGAAACTCACGTCTAAGGCGTAAAGCACAATACTTGCATCTTCCTTGTTTAAATAAGTTAGTTAATATTTTTAATACGAGCATTATGGGCATAATTTTAAAGCTTGCCAAGCCTTTTTGTTAAATAATTGTACACAACACAATTAAACACTAATACTTATATAAACACGTCCATTTTAAGTATATTTCTTTTTTTTTAATGCGTATGAAAATAATAAAATAAATAAATTAACAAAGCAAAGGTAATTTTGTTTTCATAAAAATTGTTCGTTCAGTGTATATTTAAAAAATTTCCCCTAAGCGTTGTATTCTGGATAATGGCCGGATTTAAACTGCTTGCTTATGTATTGCAGCAAGCAGTCCAATATCGTACGTGGTGCGTGGCATAGCTGGATGGAAAGCTTTTTAGTACTTAGGACTAATACCAAAACGATAAAAGGCCAAAGAATAATTTTCTGTACTAATCCGAACGGTTTTATTATATTAATTTTTTTAATCTTAATGCACATTCATAATGGGAAAGAGTTTAAAATGATCTCAACCCCATTTGGGGCCAGAACCACTATGATTCGAGTATAAGGATAACGATTTAAAACCGGATATTAAATTTCAGGGAGTGACATGCAATAAGAATTACGATTGTGATAAATATACTATAATGAATGCATATATATACATATATTTTTCTTCAATATAGTTACCTAAATTTCAAAACATTGGTAACTTCTTCCCAAGTGCAGTTAATTAGGCTAAGTGGAGCATGGCAAAGCTGAAAGCGTTTTAGTACTTAGTTAGGACTAATACCAAAACGATAAAAGGCCAAACAGTACAATTCTGTACTATTCCGAACGGATTTGTTATATACATTTTCGTAATATTAATACACATTCCCAATATGAAAAAGGGGTCCAAAATTTTTTCTAACACCATTGGGGCTAGAAATCGTATGATTGGAGTGTTCAAAAACATATATGGATATTAAATATCAAAGAGTGCAATGCAATACAAATTACGATTTTAATTAATATACGATATGCACGTTTCACCAAATTCGAAAATGTTGGAAATTATGAAATGCGATTCATTTCATTTCTATCCGATAAAGATATAAAGTTAAAAAAAAAAAAAACCAACAGAAAACTGTTGCTACTGCAATTGGTTTGCAGGCAAAAGTTATATATATCTCCATTGGTACTCTTCAAAATAAAACTCAAGTTTTTAGAGGGGCTTTACAACATTTAACACATAATATATTTATTTGACTTTTATGTAGGGTTGTTCAGTAGTATGGTTATTAATATGTGGTTGTCTTTAAGTTTCTCATTTCGGTTGTTTTACAGTTTATGGATTTTGACTAACCTATTTAAGCTTGTCTTTGCCATAATATTTATTTACTTTTGTGCTAATTTGTATTAATTATAGTTATATTTGTTGTTGCTGATGTTACACACTCTGGCATCAATTCTATGCCAATTACTGGAACTAAAACGTGAAAACTTTTTTGGAATTTTTTGTTTTTTTCGTAATTGATGATGATGTTGTTCATTATATTTATTATAATTATAAAGTTTGCATTATTATTTGAGCTACCTTTGAAACTCAGTGATTTTTGGCCGCTGTATTCATGGCAGAAACGCAACACCTAACATATACATATACATAAATGTAAAGTGCATTACGATATACTAGATTATAATGAATATTGATAATGTTTTTTTTATTAACTTGCTACACATTGATATATTGAAGCCGCAGTAAATTTTAAACAAGTGTGCTCTGAAAAATTGTAATCTCTGCTGCATTTTTCTTTCGTCGTTCTTCTTTTTTTTTCGTAACTAATTGTGCAATTACAAACATTTAAGAAGTGCCTGATTATAAATATTTTTTCTAACATGTATATACGATTTAATTTCAGTGTAGCCAATGATGTTATTGAAAACTTTACACATTCAAAACATTCATATTATTGTATATTTAATTATTGTCTGTCACAGCGTCGCGTTCGACACAACAACGTGTGTTAGCCTTTAAATATAAATAAATTAAAGTGTTTCAATATATATATATATTTTTTTGTAATCTATGCTTAAGCTCTTAAGAAATAAATTGCAAGAGATGTTGGTATTGCAATTGACGCATGTCTTCCAAAATGCTTGTTGTTGTTTGCTGAAATTGTCTTCTATTTCAAACAATGCGAAAAAATGTCTTCCAAACATTTTTTTAGCATATATCGAATATTTTATGGTATATAATATATATATATATTTATATATAAATATATGTTTATATGTAGTTATGCACATCGAGATATTTGCAGTAAATACACTTATTTAATTAATGTCTTCCTCGAAAAACGTTGGGTCGCTTTTCTTTAATATGAGCCTCTGATTTGCAATCGCAACTCATTTTGTATAGACCAAATTAGCTATATATGTATATTCATATGTATGCATATATATATATTGATTCATTCATATGGGTTGTTCAATAGCCAACACTAAACACTTGGTTAACATTTATAATTGTTACACATAATTGATGCTGATTTGTATTTTAGACAAAATTATAGATATATTTCAAAATTTAATGTTTATCAACTTTTTCTTCTGCCATTGTAAAATTGATATGCTGATTCCATTAATTAAACAAAAATTGATATTATAATAGTTTGAGTTGTTATTTTTGTAGCGTGTTTTTTAATATAAATAATTGGTTTACGACGATATGTTGTGTATTTTTGATATTAATTGGTTGTGATTTCTACGCTTTGCTCCATCCCTCCGCACAACTGGCGGATGCTACAAATAATCCTTAGGTTTTATTTGTGTTGACATCTGCACCTGGATAACCGAATTAACAGTATCCCATGGATGCCAATGCCGCACTGGAAGCCCTTTTGTGATTTTTGCTGTTTCTCTCCTACGAGCTGAGAACTTTAATTTTGAAGTATTGATTTTTATGTTTTATTTTTTTTGTTTTTTTTTCGTTTTTGCTTATTTAGTTTGCTATATTTCATAGCATATTTGTTTTTAATTGAAATTAATTACAAATTAATTGATTCGCATAGGGAATTTCATTTTGTTTTTTGCTCGCGGCGGCTTTGTGAACCGCACATATAATTGTATTTTTATATAGATTTTAGTTTTTGCCTTTACTTTTATACAATTCAACAAAAGTTTCGCAATTAACAACAGTGAATATAAAGACAACACTAGCATAAACACAAATGGAAATTGTCGCAGAGTGCGGCAAAAAATCAAAATGTATATTTTAGTGTACAACAAAGTAACAACAGAAATATTATATAGTTGAATATATAATTGGGTTGTGATTTATGTACCTTCATCTAAGCTGTGGGCTCAGGTGAAAAACGGCGATAAATCACAGTTGCACAAAGACCCGCCATCGCCAGTTTTGCAGAGAGCCTTGCACATTTCGTCCCAGTCCGGCGTACCATCGTCTGTGCTGCTGGCCTCTATTTTGCCCATGGCCGGCACCTCAGTTAGCCTGGCTTTGCCTTCATTGGAACCATGTGTAGTCACACTCTGCTCTGTACTGACCTCGTCCAAAACATCCAGCAACTGGCAAGGACTACAACCGTTCAGCGTGCGTTGTCGTTGGTGGCAATAACTTTTACACAGTCGAGTGCCATAGGACTGAACGGACTCAACTGTATTGCACTCAGAATCTAGAGTATATAGGATAAGTATATCATAAATCTCACTGCACGTCTGCATGCTTTTCTACTTGATCACAAATTGAATTTACAATAATATTTATAGTATATTAACTAATTTAAATATTACAAACAAAAGTTTTATATGAATTTTAACTATATTTTCGTGCCACACTTTTACTATTTTTTTATTGAAATAAAAATATTCACAAAAAAAAATAAAATTTCAGGCAAGTTGTATAATTTGTAAGTGTTAAAACTTCATTATATTACAAAATATAAAACTGAAACCTGTTCAAAACTTAAAACTCAACTTAATTTTCCTAAAAGAACATTTTATTGAATTTCGAGTATTTCTTTATCTAATATAACATGGGCTAAAAATGCCGCTTTACAAAGCTTAATTTTTTTGTTTCTATGGGCAGACATAGAGTAGAATTTTATACGGGCTTGTGCAATATTTTAAAAGAACAGTAAAGTTCGCAAATAAAAAGTTTGGTGAAAATATATTGGAAAGCAAAAAAGTTTTCTATGCAAGTCATTTTATGACCGATTCTTTTTATAGAGATATAGGATATGCTTTTCCGACGCTGAGAGGAAGCCTGCCAAGTTAGATCAACAAGGTTTGGTGAAGGTGAAGAACAAGGTTTTCATTTTGGCTGATCAGTCTTATTGAAGCTATATGATATATAGGTCCGATCCGCGTACATCCCACTGTCAGCAACACAAAGACGAAGCTTTGACCTAGAGAGAGAAGTTTGCTTTGAAGCAGACAGACATTTCTATACTCGGCTGTTGATCAAGCATAAATATATACTTTATGGGCTTGGAGAAGTTTCACTCTATGAGTTTCGGGACAGAAATAAAATAGCCTTAATGCTAATTTACAAATCATTACAAATCATATTACAACATATTGCTTATAAAACGACTATAAAAATATAAAAAAATTTTCTTACCTGTTGGCGATCTAGGCAGTTGCTCGCATTTAGCCAAATCAAAATCTTTGTTCAGTACCTTTATTGCCTCGACTTTGCCAGACTTGGCGCAGTATTCCGCACATGGCGCTACGCCGAGGCCAGCTCTGAAAATTGAATCGAAAAAAACAAGAAAAAAATGTCGAACGTGTTAGCACTTGAAACTAGAATAGATATAAGCCAAGTGCTTCGCATATTTGGCTAACAGCTACTGTCGATTAGCTATCTGGATTTTCCCAGCACTCGGAAACTTCACATATTTCACTCGTCACAAGGCGTCAAGACATGTTCAAATAGATATCACTCGTTTGTCAATCATTTTGACAACCTTTCGCGTATGCTTATCGACTTTGAAAATAATATGTACACACTGGATTACACACACACAGCCGAAACACTTAGATGCCTGATATGGATAAGACTTGGCCTGGTCTGATCCGATCTGGTCTGCCTGCAGGCGAAACTTCAATGGAAACTCTTGACTTACCCGCAGAGCTCTTTACACACCAAACTCCAATCCTGAACTACGCTGACGGACGTCAGAGCTGGCGACGGAGGCTTTCGCAGCGCTTCTTCAAGGCTTTGCTGTGCTGCTTGCAGCGCTTTTGTAGCATCCCCCAAAGCCTGTAGCAGTCGTGGGCGCTGTGACGTCACGGCGCTGTGAGCCTGCGCACAGCATAGGGCGGCAATAACCAATAGCATTCGAAACATGCTGAGGACCTCAGCTGCAGCGAGATAGACGGAGAGAGACAGCGTGTGTGAACAGCTAAGCATATATAACGGGAAAATAGTCATGGCCGTGCTGTATGTGGTATACTTGATATTACTTCTAGGTGTGCGTATGCGTGTGTGTGTGTGTTTCCGTGTGGGCAGCCGGAGGTGTAGTCCTTTGGGCACAATGGAAGCAATTGCGCTCAAAATGCAATTATCGCGCGCCTGAAAGTAGGCAACAAAGCGCCGTTGCATAGCTTCCATTGTTGGCGGTTCCATTGCAATTGAAATTGTATGCGCTTGATTTGCCCAATTCAAAGGATTTTCATATGCCTCCTGCTTTTGCCATCCGTGCAGCCTAGATCTCGCTGGCAGATTATCTGGCTGCCTAAACTATTGATTTTTCCAGCAATATCACGTGGCTTACCACTTAATTCACGAATTTCGCTATAGACTATGTTGTTGTTGGAAACTCCGCTTGGAGCTCATCCAGGCCACAGTTGAAAGTTGCAAGCGAGCGCGGATGCGTGAATAAATTGTACAGTCCCCTCAGGCTTATGCATATTTTCGTGCATTTACTTTACAGCTTAGTCGGCCATTTAATTAACTTTTGCAATTTGTCTGCGATGCTATCGTGAGGTTTTTTGAATTATGTGGGTGTGAGGAATTTGGGTATATACAAACTAATTAAATATTTTGGCCTATCTGGGATATCGAGCCTATCTGCGCTACGTGCAAACACAGCCAGGTAAATATTTACAGCAAGTACATAAGCAGTACATAAATGGATTTCTGATTTTGACGGCAGGGTGAATGGCAAATACTAAAGAATTCTCTGGCCGAGCCACAAAAATGTATTGTTAGATACCAGAGCAGTTTGTGGATGATTAACTTGATCAATCAAGTAAAGAATATAAGAATATACATAATATTAACTCAAAATAAACGAGTAGAATTTGAGAAGCTCTAAATGTTCTTTTAAGCAGATAATTTATGAACACTTATTTGTAGTCTATTTACTTACATTTCACTTGGAAAGCATACAAATTGAACTTAGTTTTATCTATTTTGTTTAATAAATAGAATTTAGTTTATTTCACTTGTTATGTGCTTCGTGTATCAATGCTCAAATCAAAATTGGGCTCAATGCAAAATGCGCTCATCTTTTAAAAGTTAAACCAACTGAAATGTGAGCCGGTAACAAACTGAATGTCGCATTTCGCTCAGCGGATCCACAACGAAAGCTATTTGTTATTAATATTTATATAAACGTATATAATACTTAGCACTATCAGCGCACAACGGTCGGCTAAAATCATGGCGCTCGGGCCTAGAGTGTTCTGGCTGTGTTGATTTTTGACACATGTTGGCTTAGTTGACACTTTGGCTCTGCTGTTGCCGTTGATCAGAGATAAGCGCAACCAGGAGTAGTTAATTATTATTGGTAGCATTTGGGTTTCGAGTGCGCTTTTGCCCGATAACACTCAGCCTGTCAATTATTACAGCAGATAACAATTATTAGGCGAAAAATATAATATAATAAGCAAAGCCATACATTAATATAAGTGCGCAGTTTTAACGCTTAAAAGATGAATACAATTTGGTTTTGGGAGAAAAATTAAAGACTTACTCGATTTGGCAAAGTTGAGTATGACATCTATTGTTGTTATCAATATAACCTCAGGTGTCAAACTATTTTTTAATAGATAGATAAGTTATAGGACGAAATACATGGTATGACGATTAAAAATATAATCTTGCCTTAGGCAACCTAGGTTTCATACTGTATTTTCATACTTGTCTTGCCTAATTAGGCCACCATATATAGCCCATCTTCAGCGAGACGTCTTCGCAGCTAAACAAATTCTTCTTTAAGTTTCAAAGTGTTCTTTAAGTTTTAACTGTGATTGTGCAATTTTTAAATACTGATAATCATTGGCAAAATTATTAAGTAAATTTAGCACTATGGAATTGGCTAAAATGGGCAAGATTCGAGCTACGATACTCTCGCTTCACCGTCTCTTGGCTTATTTACCAATGACAGCACACAAAGCAACTAAAGTTAATTAGAGCTTAGCACCGAAAAGTCCTTGAACTGTCAAGTAGGGATAAACAAATCTTTAAGTCATAATGACAGTATACTGACAACATAAAACAGCAGGGCTTTTAAAGGCTTAACAACGTATTGTGGGACAAATGCAATGCCAAAAATGTCGCCTGCATGTTCTCAGATAAGAAAACTAAGTTAACAAAGACACGTTTTGGCCGCTGTTTGTGTTGGCAACTTGGTCAAAAGTGTAGGCAGTTCCCTTCGTTCCTTCTACCTTTTTTCTTTGTGCTGAACTGTAAGCCTAGAGTGTGGCAAGCATCGTTCAGTGTTACATAAGTTCGCCATGTGCCACTCAAAAGTATGCTATGGAAATCATTCAGTTGCACGTAATGCAATTGAACTGCGTGGGTTGGGCCCGGGCCAATTGTCGACCATTTTGTAAAATGTATCTATGTATCCAAAAGCTGTGACGGTGTAAGTGTATTTTTTTTTTCATTTCTGCTTTGACCCAAATTTCTGCGTGCCTTGAAAAATCCATAAATTGCCAAAAGGACCCACACATATGTATGTATGTGTGTACACGCTGGTATTTGTATCCATTTTCATGTGAAGTAACTCCATGAAAACCTTGGCTTTGCATATATAAACAAATTGTGTTTTTCTTTTAGCCAAATGGCAATAAAAAACTTTTGCCATTGTAAATGTCAAAAACAGTTAGAAAATTAGTTTGTTAATTAGCTTTTCATTCTGCCACATCACATAGCAAAAACAGACAAAATGCCTTAACAAAAAAATATATATCAGAAACAGCAACAGCAACGCCTGGCACTTAAATTGTTAAAAAAAACACACACACACATACATGGATTTCGTGCTGGCAAAGATGGGAGTGGGGCGACATCGCCTCGCCAGGCTTGCGCAATGGCGTCTCCTGCGTTGGGTATGTATCTGTTGGATACGTGGATACGCTGCCGCCCATAAATGTAGCTCCGCCCACATACATGCAGCACAGAGTGCCAAGATGGTTGCCCAAAAAATCTTGTGACGTCATCAAGATTGCTTGCCTGCGCAGTTTGGCGCCCAAACACGCTTACAAATCTGCATATATACGACATGCCCATACATAGCTGCTAGGAATGTCTCTGCTGTTGTGAAGGTTATGCAACACACAGCTCAATGTTGTTGTATATAAATGTGAGCTGCTGTCTGTGTGGGTGTGTGCGTGTGTGATTTTAGGTGTGTAGGTGGGCAGCCATTTTGTGCGTAACATGGCAAGCTTCGTAGGCAACCCAAACGGATGCTGCTGCTCATAGCTCCGCAGATCGTCAGCGAGTGTAGCTGCTTTTTGCAAGCATCCACAAATTTGTCAGATATCGAAACTATATCGTTACAGTTAGTCAAGTGGCTCCGTCCCGTTCGGTTCAGTTCAGTTAAGAGTTTACAGTTTGCAGTTTGCATTTTGCAGTTTACAGTTTGCGCGCGTGTTGTATAAACGAGATTTGTAAGTTGTAGCTGTTACATTCAGTAGTTGCACATGCCACCAAATCTATCGCATTCCAGGTCATCTATGAGATAACTGAAACACAACCTATATTAACTAGTCAATTAACTAACTTAATCTAACGCTCATTTCGCACTCGCTCGATCGCAAACGCCATTTGTTGTTATTCTTGTTTACTATCGCACATTTTCGCTATTCACACGTAATTGTCAACAAAGCAGCCAAAGTGAATTATCTAAAGCAATACATCGACGATATCCGCAGGATAATCGGTAAGATATCCTTTTTAACACATATACCGCGTCTACCTATTTTGTAAACACACTCAACATGGTATGAATACCCTTTATCCAAGTGTGTCTGTTATATAAGCTAAGTCCAGGTTTAAGGTTTTCTATACTTAATGCAGCTGTCGCATTGTCTGTATCCTTATATTTTGAGCATATAGATACCTATACACACATACACAGGAAATAAAGTTAGCACTCACTGCGCAATTGCAGATGTTGCTCAGCTTTATGTATATCAAATCTGCTGCCCCAGTCTCTTTTTTTTCCTTTATATTGACAGAGCACTTACAGATACCTACATTCAGATGGAAGCGAGTGGGTGAAAGGAATATGAGTGAAGACACAGGAGGAATTGGTTCCCATGGTGCAGCACTATATTCAAAGCATACACCCTCCACATCCATATGTAGGCAGCCAAGCTTTGTCAGGATTTATTTAGGATAGGTTTTTTCAAATTCCAGTTTACAAAATTTGAAGCTTAATATAATCACAAAGTTTTTGATATGGTATAGTTAAGGGTTTTATCCCGATATGATATAGCAAGTGCAATTTTGTTTGTCTCTTTTCTTCTTTCTAATTGATTGTGATTAATTGAGCATAACATCTTTAGACTGAAAGCGACGACAGCATTACTAGTATTTGGCATGCCATAAGCCGCCTGTTCTGATAACGTGCTGTGAGGGAGAGGAGGTGACGTAAAATGGCAAGAGTGCAGGGCAACGCTAGGTGAAACATATCTGCTTTCGATTATTGAAAATGAGGAAAGTTTTTATTTATTAACTGCCGAAGACAGATATATTTTGAAAAAGGAAAAAAACAAAATAGCAGAAAAAGGAATATATATGGAGACCACTTTCCATTAGGCTCAAGTGAAAATATAAATAAATATTTTTACTGCCAGAACTTCGATTAAAAAGGAGAAAACAAATAACGGAAAATGAAAAAGAAATGTATATATATTTTTATTGCCAGAACTTAGATTAAAAGGAGAAAATAATAATTGTGTAAAATCACTCATAAAAAGTGCGCTTAGAACAAATGGGGAAGGCGAAAGTGCCTACACGGGCGAAGAAGATTGGGACATTTTCCTTTTTATTAGCAAAATATGAGGATAATTTGAACCTTTGAAAACCTTAATTCCTGACGAACCGGTTACTACTGCTGTTATTCTTTTGCGCTATAGCCGATTGATTGCCTTGATTTACAGGACTTAAATATTTTGTACACTTTTTAATATAACTGATTTTAGAAAAGGAAAAACTTTGACATTGCATACTTTTTACATATATAAGAGTGTGCCACCCACACTCCCAAACTGATTTTGCCCTTCAATTGTCCTTGTGCCCAGCTGAAAGTTTCCCCACGCCTGCTTCCATTTTCTTTTCTGTTTATTTACTCGCCCACTGCATTTTCACGCAGTTTTCCCTGGCGTTGGTTATGTAATTTTCGGACATTGTGTAACACCTCGCTCGCATTTGCTATTTGCATATGCATCTCCCCTTGCGTATTTCCCCCTTCTATTTATATAATTGCATAACATTTGCTCATTAAACCATTGCTTACTTCAAGGCATCACCCATACTAGATTTAGTTCTAATTGTTATTTCTTTTTTGTTATGTTACAGAGGAGAAAATGTCACTCAATCCGAACGGGTATAAACTCTCCGAAAGGACGGGTAAACTAACGGCTTATGGTGAGTACAAATAGAGAAATATATATTTAAATAAAATTAAAATACTCCATGCGTTCAAAGTTTGAAGATTTATTTCTAAATATGCATATGTATTTTATAGTTAATATATATGTGTATTTAGATAATTCTTCAAACTATAAAAGCAAGGGGTGTTTTAATTTTATTAAGCGTATATATATTTGAACGTCTTCACAATTTGAAATATCATAAATAAATATCAAAAAACCATTTTAAGAATATAAGTATATAAGCGGAGAAATATATATAGTTTCCATTTGTAGTAAGTCTAGTTAGACTTCAACTTTTCGAAACTTTTCCAAACGATATTTTTTATTCGAACCCCATAGGAAAATCTTTATGTAAAGGCGCAGTTATGCCCGACAATCATAAAATATTTTTAATAATATATTATATAATAATATATGTTTATTATTTAATTAATTTGAATGGATTGATGCTGATGTATTTTGCTTGGACCCAAACAAATTACTCGTAGTAGATTATAATAATAAGTTATAATAATCTTAAATAGTTGTCTAAACAACATCTCAACATAACTGCACACAAATCTATTCGCTGTGCAAATAATAAATGAGAGTGTTAAACTGACACACGCAAACAAAATGCTGTAGAGGACAACCACAAGGCCGTAGTCCCAGAAGCACGCACACACACGACAAATACATAGGACTGTCCGGGACACTCGCTGCCAGTTACAGCCCAAGCAGGAGGCCTTGATAAATTGCAGCGTCGTTTGACTTCGCTGGAGCGTGAAACTGGCGAATGCC